TTAAGCAAGCCAGTGACCAGATTTGGTCTTGCCCGGGGCTCCATTTAAAAAAAAAAAAAAAAAAAAAAGAGGAAGGCAGCTCTCTAGCAGTGATGGGCGTGGTTTTTATCCAATGAGTTCTGCGAGGCCTGCCTTGGCGGTTGTAGGAAGAATGGCGGCGCTCCAGTCCCTTCTTGAACCAAGTGCTGCAACTCACTTTTTTGGGTGTGTAAACTCCCTGTGCCGGGGGCACAGCCAAGGCGGGCCGTGCTCTATATCCCAGGCTCTATATCCTCGTTTCCGGATCTCAGTCTGCGCACCCCATTGAAACTGCCAGAGACAGAAACTCGCAGGCGATCCCCTCAGGGCAGTCCAAGCCTCTTGCCTTCCCCCTGAGGACTGAGCCAGAAACTGCTGCTCCAGTCTCCTCCAGGTCCCTTGGCGAGCGACAAGTAGTTTCATCCAGGGGTAGCCTGGGATGAGTGAGTCCCGCCCAGGGTCAGCTGGAGAGGAGGAAACTGGGTCCCTCTGTGTCCTGTCGCTGGAAACATGAACTTGCGGGCAAATCTCCCAGTTTTAAACCCTTCGCCCTTCCCTCTAGGGATCCAGCCTAGCCAGAAGCACAAAGGAGGGGCGCTGTGCGTCCCCTCCAGGTTGAGCAGGCGCGCAAGGAGCAGTTCCCCTGGGGGTCTCTTGGGACGAGTGTGTCCCGCCTCGGGTCAGCTGGAGAGCAGGAAACCAGGTCCCTCTGTGTCCTGAGCGGAGGTTTCACTGTTCCCCAGCAACAGTGACAGTGTCTTGAGCAGTTTTGGCCACTCTCTTTCCCCTCTAAACTCCCTACAGAGGGAATCGGCCCCATCCCTCTGAGTCTCTGGTCCTGGACCGATTTTATCTTTCCCAGTTTGCACTCACGCTAGAAGGTTTTCTCAGTGGACTCTGTCTCCTTTTCCTCCAAAAACTCCTGGATTCTGTAAGGGTTCCTATGGCTTCAGGCCTTCTCCCTGCGAGATACGGGGGCGAGTGCAATATACGGACTTTCCTACTTCTCTGCCATCTTCCCCCCTCTCCCCTATGGAGGTTTCTGACTACTACTTAATAATTATGGATTTGAGTCATTAGTCATGTATATTCAATGCAAATATTTTCTCCCACCCTGTGGCTAGCATTTTCACCACTGTCTTTTGATAGAGACCGTGTATTAATTTTTAATACATCCTAATTGATCCTCTTTTACCTTTGTTATTAGTGCTATTTTATGTCCTATTTAAGTAATCTCTACTTCTTCCAAGGTCATAAAGATATTCTCTCATGTTTTCTTCTAAAAAAATTATTGTTTTACCTTTCACCTTTTCACATTATATCTACAATCCATCTGAAATTTATTTTTGTGCATGATGAGAAATAAAAGTCAAGATTTCTTTCTCTGTCTCTTTCCTTCCCTCCCTATCAGCCTCTCTTACCCTCTCCCTCTCTGCTTTTGGACTTTCTGTTATGTCCCATTAGTCTATTTGTCTATCATTCCAATAATAATACCTATAGATTTAGAATATACATGTAGCTTTAAAACTTTGAAATAAGTCTTGATATATGGTATTAGATTTGATTAGATTGTAAGTTCTCTAGCTTTTTTCTTCTTCAAGATTGCCTTAGCTATTTTTTATACTTTTGTACTTTTATCTAAATTTTACAATCAGTGTTTTCTTCACATTTATCCTTCTTAGTGTTTACCAACTTCTTGAATCTTTAGACTGATAACTTTAAAAATGTTTGACCTGTATTTAATTATTGCTTTTGCTCTTTTCTCTCCATTTTTCTTCTGCAAAATTACACATCACAATGTATTTTACTGTGTCCCACATTTCTTACTTTTTTCTGTATTTTTGTGTCCCTGTGTTTCAGTTTTGCTATTTTCTGTTTACCCATTTTTAAGTTCTCTGATCCTGTCTTCTGCTTGTTAAATCTTCCCATTGAATTCTGAAGTTTGCATGTGTACTTTCCCATAGGTAATTTCTAATGTGTTCTTCTTTATAGATTCCAATTTTCTGTTGAAATTCTGTTTTATCTCTTTTAACTCTTATATTCATCTTTTTTCCTTTTCCTTGGACATATTAACCATAGTTGTTAAGATTCCTTGTCTACAAACTCTGATATGGCAGTCACCTGTGGATCTATTCCATATTCTACCCCCTACCTTTTGTTTTGTTTTGTTTTAAAATCTTGGTTTTAGGTCATATAGTCCTGTCTATTGGTATGTTTATTGATTTTTTTATTGAATTCCAGACATTGTATAATAAAACTGTATAGTTTTCAGATGATGTTGGCTTCCACTAGAGGGGCTTCATTTTTCCCTTTGCTAAGCAGATAGTTTGGGAGAAATATTACCTTAATCCCATAAGGGACTGAGTTGGGTTATAGTTTTGGTTAAACTTGATATGTCCCTGCTGTTCCCTTGTAAACAGGGCATTGCTTCTCTAGGGTTTTAAACTGATAGCCTAGCATGTCTTCTTTTTTTTTGCATTGGGAGACTGTAGGAAAGCCAGCTTTACTTTTTAGAGGTTTTCATATTCTTGTTTGTCCTTATGATTTATTCATATTCAAAATTCAGCAACTGTATTGAGAGGGATATCAGCCAAGAGTTTGAGACCGTCTAGATCTCTATTTTTATCACTTTAGTTCTGTGTACCCATTAAAACTATTGCTTTTTTTATCTATCATCTAGCATCAGCCCTATGGCTAGAGTCAAACTTGAATTCTAAGCTGCAATCCATGGCTAGAATTGACAAATATCACAAAGAATGAAGAAGCTGCAGGTTACACATTCATCTATGGGAGGTTCTACCTTTTCTCCAGAATTTTTGTCTTTCAATCTTTTTTTTTTTTTTTAAATGTTTTATTTATTTCTAGGAGAGAGAGAGAGAGAGAGAGAGAGAGACAGCGTGAGCAGGGGAGGGTCAGAGAGAGAGGGAGTCACAGACTGAAATAGGCTCCAGGCTCTGAGCTGGCAGTCAGCACAGAACCCGATGCGGGGCTCGAACCCACGAACCGCGAGATCATGACCTAAGCGAAAGTCAGATGCTCAACCGACTAAGCCACCCAGGCGCCCCTGTCTTTCAATCTTCATTGCTTCTACAGTTCTATGTTTTCTAAGTGTTCAGGAGCCATTGTTATTTATCATCTGAACTATTGCCACAAACTTTAACTGGATTTCCTTCCTCTATTCTTCCCATACTTATATTTTAACAGAGTATCCACAATTATTAAAACATAAGTTAGATAATATAATCATTTTGTTCAAAATATCCCAATTACTCTTCATTTTCTCTCAGTAAAATTCAATGTCCTTTAATGTCCTACAAGATTATAGATGACCTGCCTTCTTCTTTGATCTCATACTCTCCTAGTGCTTTCCCCTTTACTGTGTCCAGCCATAATGAACACTGATCGTCCTTGAAGAAGTTAGATACTTTTCTGACTCAGGGTCTTATCCCGGGCTGTTCCCTCTACCTAGAGCACAGTTTCCTCTAATATCTGCATTGTTAATGCTTTTACCTTTTTAAAATCTCTGCTCAATTGTCACTTTTTCAAAGAGGACTATGCTTAATACTCTACTTTAAATTTCAGTGGCAACACCTATCTTCCATCTAGACATGACTGATTCCCCTTATTCTGCAATATTTTTGTCTTCCCATAGTTATTTTCAATATACAACATACTTCATACTTTACTTTTTATTTTTTTTATTTAAAAAATTTTTAATGTTTATTTATCTTTGAGAGACAGAGACGGACAGAGCATGAGCGGGGAAGGGGCAGAGAGAGAGGGAGACACAGCATCCAAAGCAGGCTCCAGGCTCTGAGCTAGCTAGCTGTCAGCACAGAGCCTGACGCGGAGCCGGAGCCCGAACCCACAAAGCGTGAGATCATGAGCTGAGCCGAAGTCGGAGGCTTAACCAACTGAGCCACCCAGGCGCCCCTATACTTTACATTTTAATCTATTGTTTATTTTATCTTCCACCGTCACTCTCTCCTCTATAATCTAAGCTCCACAAAGACAGGGTCTTTGTTTTAGTCATTGATGTATTCCAAACTCCTACAATAGAGCCTGGCACATAAAAGACAATCTATAAGTATTTGACAATGATTGAAAAAAATATGTCACATGTAATTATTTGGGTCTTTTCAAATGCTCCTTTTAATTTAAAATACAGAGTTAAATTTAATTTAGACACAATCAACACAGACCTTGATATATTGCTCAGATGACTCCCTATATGAAACTTACTCTGAAATTCTTACAGTTAAACTGACTCAAATTTTATTCAATTTTGATTTTTCTAATTTATTTAAAAATGGGCTATGTATCTACTCATTTCTCCGTGAGATTTACAGTTACTGGTAAAGGCAATACTCTGTAAAAATAAGAAAATTTCCAGAGTCTCTTTCTATCTACCATTTACTGTAGAGAATTAATAGAATTACATAAGATACAGGTAGAAAAGGCATTCAAAAATATAAACACATTCTCTTTTGGGTATCTTGTCCTTAGGAAGCAGCTATTATACTCCAATTTAGTTAGTTTGTTTGCTTATTTATTTATTATGCATTTGTTTACTCATTCTCAATTATGTATTTAAATTGCAGTTACTTTATATTCAGTGTAACATTAGTTTCAGGTGTACGATATAATGGTTCATCGCTTATATACATCACTCAGTGCTCATCAAAATATATTAGCTCTGTCTTGCTCTATTTTCTGACAATTTAGGAGACATAAGTTAATTTTTCAATTAAATGACAGGAATGAGTCTGAAAGGGTGAGATAATATTTGCTATCTAGAAAGAAAACTCTATAAAAATTACATCTCCTCCTCCTGATTAGTTAGTACTATTGAACGCCACTCCCCTTCCCCATTCCCATACCAGCCTGGGTTTTAGCTTTAGGAACTACGAGGGGACAGAATAGGAAATACTCATTTTCCTTCAGAAAAATATCAGGTAAACAGAAGTGAAAAAAATACATACAGCTTCCAAACTTCAGTGGGCAGGCATGTACGTCCATAGGAAAATCTTCCAAATGCATGGGACATTCAGCATGGATTGTCAACCTAACACAAGGAGAACACAAAATTAGATTAAGCTAAAATGAAAGGTATTAAACAGAGAGCTGAGTTCTCATTTACCAGCAATAGGGTGCCCCATAAGAATAATGGGATTTCATTTACTTAGGTTCACTGAGATAGAAATCTTTATGAACACAAGTGATGAATTAATAGGACCAGACAGCAACTCAAAGTAGCATTCAGTATTTAGATTTTAAAATCAGATTTGAGGGGCGCCTGGATGGCTCAGTTGGTTAAGCATCTGACTTCAGCTCAGGTCATGATCTCATGGTTCATGGGTTCAAGCCCCGTGGTGGGCTCTGCACTAACAGCTAGCTCAGAGCCTGGAGCCTATTTCAGATTCTGTGTCTCCCTCTATCTATAACACTCCCCTGCTCACGCTCTCTCCCGCGCTCTCTCACTCTTGCTCTCTTTCTCTCTCTCAGAAATAAAATATTAAAAAATTTTCTAAATAAAATAAAATTTCAGATTTGAATCCCACCTTACCACCTTTAGAAAAAAATTTATAACTTATCTGCCTTAGCTGAGCTCTCTCAGCCAGCTCTCCCCCTCAAAGAAGCCTTAAAACACCAGGTTCTGACTTATTCACTGCTTGATAATAGTTTAATTATTTATTAAATAATTCTCATCAGCAGGCTATCGAGTGAGTAAATCCACTGAAAGACTACAGTGGGGGGGGGGTGCCTGCGTGACTCAGTCGATTAGGGATCCGACTTTGGCTCAGGTCATGATCTTACGGTTCTGGGGTTCGAGCTCCGCGTTGGGTGTGTGCTGACAGCTAGTTGAGAGCCTGGAGCCTGCTTCAGATTCTGTATCTCCCTTTCTCTCTGACCCGCCTCTGCAGGCGCTCTCCCTCTCTCGCTCGCTCTCTCTCTCTCTCAGAAATAAATAGATCACAATGTTATGAAACTCGAAATCAATCACAGGAAGAACTCTGGAAAACCTCTTAAAAAATGGAGGTAAAAGAACACCCTACTAAAGAATGAATGGGTGAATCAGGCAATTAGAGAAGAAATTAAAAATTATATGGAAACAAATGAAAATGAAAATACAACAATCCAAACTCTATGGGATGCAGCGAAGGCAGTCCTAAGAGGAAAGTACATTGCACTCCAGGCCTATTTCAAGAAATTACAAAAAGCACAAGTGCAAAATCTAATAGCACACCTCAAGGAACTAGAGAGAGAGCAACAAGAGCACCCCAAACCCAGTAGTAGACGAGAAATAATCAGTGCAGAAACAAACAATATAGAAACCAAAGAAAAAGTTGAACAGATCAATGAAACCAAGAGTTGGTTTTTTGAAAAAATAAACAAAATTGACAAACCTCTAGCAAGGCTTCTCAAAAAGAAAAGAGAGAGCACTCAAATAGACAAAATCATGAATGAAAATGGACTGATTACAACCAACCCCTCAGAAGTACAAGCAATTATCAGGGAATACTATGAAAAATTATATGCCAACAAATTGGACAACTTGGAAGAAATGGATTAATTCCTCAACACACACACACTACCAAAATTCACACGGGAAGAAACAGAAAACCTGAACAGACCCATAACTAGTGAGGAAATCAAATCAGTTATCAAAAATCTCACAACAAATAAGAGCCCTGGGCCAGATGGCTTCCTTGAGGAATTCTACCGGACATTTAAAACAGAAATAATACCGATTCGCCTCAAGCTATTCCAAAAAGTAAGAATGGAAGGAAAACTTCCAGACTCATTTTATGAAGCCAGTTTCACTTTGATTCCCAAGCCAGACAGAGACCCAGCAAAAAAGGAGAACTCCAGGCCAATATCCTTGATGAATACGGATGCAAAAATCCTCAACTAGATACTTGCAAACCGATTCCAACAGCACATAAAAAGAATTACCCACCAAGACCAAGTGGGATTCATTCCTGGGTTAGAGGGATGGTTCAATATTAGCAAATCAAACAATGTGATACATCACACCAACAAAAGAAAAGATAAAAACCATATGATCCTGTCAACAGATGCAGAAAAACCATATGACAAATACAGCATCCCTTCTTAGTAAAGACCCTCAAGAAAGTCGGGATAGAAGGAACTTAAACATCATAAAAGCCATCTATGAGAAGCCCTCAGCTAACATCATCCTCAACGGGGAAAAACTGAGAGCTTTCCCCCTGAGATCAGGAACATGACAGGGATGTCCACTCTCACCACATAGTGCTGGAAGTCCTAACATCAGCTGCCGGGAGCTGCACCGGCCTCTTTGGATGGCAGTCACAGCAAGGAAGTGACAATGTTTGCAGCTCCTCCCATGAGAAATGAAAACTAGTATCTCCTTCTGCTACTATTGGCTCATGTTGGATATAAGCCTACTGGTATTGACCAGGCCTCACAATATTCCATGTCAGACCCATATTCTGAATACAGATACCTCATAAGGAAAAGCATATTCCTGCCTTTGCAAAAGAGATTTTAGATGAAAGCTCTATGGGCGATTGTCAAAAGGTTCTTCCTATGGGCCTTGCAGATCCAAGGCTTAGGGGGTTAAGAACACAAGAATTACAATTGAGCCTGGCCCTGAAACCAAGGGCCTCTTTTGGGGTTAAGAGCAAAACACAGTTACCACATATATCTTTGCTAATTGGTAAAACATATCAGTCCCTTCCTCAAGGCCTACTTTCCACAAACACCCTCTCTTACACTGGCAGCTGGGATGATGATAGATAAAAGTAGCTAAAACATTACCCAGGGGCAAAAGACTGACCCATTCAGGGTCCCCATGTTAGTCTCCACAAACAAACCAATTCAGAAACATTCATCCTCTTGAGAGCCAGACAAAATACTCCTATCTTATCTTTATACAATTTTACCTTTATGTTATCCTTTTTTTCACTAAGAACATTCTGTTATTTCCTTGGTCGGAATAATTCTACTATTGATATCACAAAAGGCCTCCCATTGTAAGAAATTCTTTTCTATGACTTCATCTTGTTGCTGAACCTTTAAATAAAGATACAAATACCGACAGGACAGAGATGCCTGACTGGTGATCAGAAAGAATCTCCGGGGCATCTCTCACTCTCTCTCTCTCTCTCTCTCTCGCCGACACTGTCCATCCTTCAGGGACCCCTGGACCTGTCGGAGCCAGCTCGGCCTCCGGCAACAGCCATCAGACAACAAAAGGAAATCAAAGGCATCAGAATTGGCAAAGAAGAAGTCAAACTTTCACTTTTTGCAGACGAAATGATACTCTACATAGAAAACCCGGCAGATTCCACCAGAAGCCTATTAGAACTGATCCAAGAATTCAGCCAAGTTGCAGGGTACAAAATCAATGTACAGAAATCGGTTGCATTTTTGTACATCAACAATGAGGCAACAGAAAGAGAAATCAAGAAACTGATCTCATTCACAATTGCACAGAAAACCATAAAATAAATACCTAGGAATAAGCCTAACCAAGGATATAAGAGATCTGTATGATGAAAACTATAGAAAACTTATGAAGGAAATTGAAGAAGACACAAAGAAATGGAAAAACATTCCATGTTCATGGATCAGAAGAATAAATATAGTTAAAATGTCATTACTACCCAAAGCAATGTACACATTCAATGCAATCCCAATCAAAATTGCACCAGCATTCTTCTCAAAACTAGAACACACTCTCCTAAAATTTGTATGGAACCACAAAAGGCCCCGAACACCCAAAGTAATATTGAAGAAGTAATATTGAAGTAATATTGAAGAAGAAAACCATGGAAACAATCCATAAAACTAATAGGCAACTGACGGAATGGGAAAAGATAGTTGCAAATGACATATCAGATAAAGGGCTAGTATCCAAAATCTATAAGGAACTCACCAAACTCCACACCCGAAAAACAAACAACCCAGTGAAGAAATGGGCAGAAGATATGAACAGACACTTCTCCAAAGAGGACATCCAGATGGCCAACAGACACATGAAACGATGCTCAGCGTCCCTCCTCATCAGGGAAATACAAATCAAAACCACCCTGGATACGACCTCACACCAGTCAGAGTGGCTAAAATGAGCAAATCAGAGAACTCTAGATGCTGGCGAGGATGTGGAGAAACGGGCACCCTCCTACACTGTTGGTGGGAATGTTAACTGGTGCAGTCCCTCTGGAAAACAGTGTGGAGGTTCCTCAACAAATTAACAATAGAACTCCCCTATGACCTAGCAATAGCACTGCTAGGAATTTACCCAAGGGATTCAGGAGTGCTGATGCACAGGGGCACATGGACCCCAATGTTCATAGCAGCACCTTCAACAATATCCAAAACATGGAAAGAGCCTAAGTATCCATCAACAGACAAATGGGTCAAGAAGATGTGGTTTACTCTACAATGGAATACTACATGGAAATGAGAAAGAATGAAATCTGGCTATGTGTAGCAACAGGAATGGAACTTGAGGGTGTTATGCTGAGCAAAATAAGTCAGGCAAACAAGAACAGATACCATATGTTTACACATATAGGAGGATTATAAGGAACTTAATAGAGGAACGTGGGGGAGAAGGAGGGGGGAAACAGTTGGGGAGAGGGAGGGAGGCAAACCATGAGAGACTCTTGAATGCTGACAACAAACTGAGGGCTAATGGGGGTGGGGCAGAGGGGAGGAGGGGTGATGGGCATGGAGGAGGGCACTTGTGAGGATGAGCACTGGGTGTTATATGGAAACCAACTTGACAATAAGCTATTAAGAAAAAGAAATACATAAAACATTTTCAAAAAATTTAAAGACTACACTGGGAAGGAGAGATTAATATCTTTATCTTGATAATGAACAGGTACAAAAGATGGCTCTGCTGGTCATAGCAACTATCTAGCTTTCTTGAAGGAGATGGCTCTTGGAGAACATATACTGCATGCGCATGCACACATGTTCTTGTGCACTCATGCATGTGCACACACGCACACACACAACTGGCCAGGAAAAAGAAAATGAAGGTAATGGAGGACATCAAAAACCTCAGAG